ATGGAAGATCAGCTTCCTCACATGGGGTGCTTCTGAATGCACTTTTTTACGAAATGTTCCACAGTACTACATCAAACGATGCAGCGGCTTCAAGATGAAAGAACTTGAACCTGCCTCATCGAGATATCTACCGTATTCAATGACAGGCTGTCATCTGTCCAAATTCAAAAGTGTATGAATTAAGGAGAACGTTAACTCACTTCTGATGAAAGGAAACATGACATCCCTCACAAGTGAGCATCGAATTAGTGGCAGTTGTCGCCTTCTCTCCACATTTTTTACATGGCTGAAATAAATCATCAGAAACTGCACAGGGAGAAACAGTGTGGAATTGAGAGTTTGAGGGACAATTTCAGGTGATGGGCCCTAAAACATGAATAACGGTGAAGAAAACGAGATCGCCGTATGTGGTAGCAAGATTTATACGGGCTTGAGGGGTTTGTCTCAAAGTGTAACCACGACGTGTCGTACAACATGGTCTACACTCCTTATCCCGGAGATGGGGAGGGCGTGGCTGTGTACTTCACTTGCATATGGTGAAGAATGCACTTTATGGGAGATTCCCATTTGAGGGAGCTGTAACAATGTTTTGTCATGCAAAAGGACATTATTTCACTTTCCCAAGTGACAATCTCCCACCGAAAACGCAGCCGCCGTCACGTCGATTGAAGTACGCAGCCACGCCCACCCATCTCTGAAGGATGCTCTGGTCCATCCCACACGAGTTTTAGAAAGGTAGAACTTTCATGAATTTCTCATCCATAACGATAGTAGGCCTCTTGGTCGCTGCAGGTGGCGGGTTTGATTGAGACTAACATGAGTACCGACACGCACTACTAGAAAATAGTTTACATGAATCGGAAACTATTTCTTCAGCTACAGTACCCATTCCTACACCAAAGTGTTTACCCACAGTGCCCTCTCTATTTTTGACTTTCAACGTACTAGACAGCTTTTCATAACAACTCACTATTGCTCGCTTTGAAGTCAGAAAACAATTACACAAATTGAATTATGAACGGGAAAATTGGGATAAGGCGCCCTCCTAGCTAATTGTCAAGCTCGTAATAGACGTCTACTCATCATGCTCACTAATATACGTCGCCGTTCTTGGTTCCCTTAGCCATAGGAAAACAACAGTTCAAATCAAATTACGATGGGACAAATTGAAATTGCCGAAATTCCGCTCTCAAACCAATTTTTCAAAATTCGGCACTATTCAACTATTACTACCCCAAAAAGTCAAGAAAAATTTTTGGTGAAACTTTGCCCACAGAGGTAATTCGGTGTCCTGATCACGAATATAGCACTCGTTTTCGGCGCTGGCGCCAATTGGCGCCAGTTTGGCGCCGCCACCTTTCTCACCAAATTCGGTGTAAATTTGCATAGTAGGGTTATTTGATGTCCTCACGAATACCGAATTAGTTTTCAGCCCT